GACCATGAGAAAGTGATTGAATATATATTAAAAAAAATAGCAAGATCAATTTTCATCTTTAACCTTGACATAACTCTTCAATAAAATAATTAGCAAAATAAATATTCATTAATTTACTAGGAAAGTCCTACGAGGAATAAATCGTTTTTGACTCTAGACTACGTGTATTATATAGATCTAAATATGCTTTGAATACCTTGAAAAGAATTGATGTCTTTAGCTTATTACTGGCAAGATACCTCAGTTTTTAAAAGAATGTCGTGATTTCTCTTAGGAAAACGAGGGAATGTTATTTTGTCGCACGGAATACGATTGTAGGGTGTGGAGTGTAACTAAAGAGAAGACCCACATCTTCGAGTTTTATTTTGAATGAAATACAATGTTTTTTTTTTGTTCTTTAGGTCATCAAAAACGTTTTATGCTTGGTATAAAGCGTCTCAAAGATATTAAGAAAGGTCTTTATCAAGTTAATACAAATTCATCATCACAATCTTCAACAGTAGTATCATCTCCGAATAATCATCGTTTGCCATCAACACCATCAAGACAATCAAGTGGTTTAAATAATCGACCAAATGTTCCAATACGACAAACAAAATCTACACTTGAACGTTGTAATTCTCTTGAAAATAATAGTATAATACCAACACAATTAACTATTCGAAAGTAAAAAAAAAAAATTTTTATTGAAAATTGTTTTCTTTTATTTTTTCTATTTTCTAGACCATCAATTCAATTATCTCATCTATCACCAACACGAATAACTTCAAATGGTGATTCATCCAATTATGCAACTCTTCGAAAACCTCCAGTATCACCCAAAACACTACTTCATAAACAACAACAACAAAAAATTATTTCAAATATTAATCCTATGGCAACATCATCGTTTCGTTTACCACCTCCATTATCATCAACTACAACAACAACAACAACAACAACAAATAATACAAATTCATCTTCGAATAATGAATTATTATCATCATCATCTCGAACACGTAGTTTAGAAAATATAAATTCAAATGAAAAAAAACTTCCATCAATACCATTACAAAATGATACAAGTTCATCTATAACTAATGGAAATTTATCACAATCTATGCAAACTACAAATAAAAAAACAAATCTACAATTATTAGGTGATGCTAATCTATCATCAAGTACAGAATCAACAAATGGCATTCCATTTGCAAATGAAAATGTTGGAACTATAAAACAACGTTCACCACATAATCAAAATAATAATTTATATAATACATCATTAGATCCAATGAAACGTTCATTACCAATACAATTTTTTGAACAATCAAATACACATTTATTAAAACCATCGTATCCAATGACAACAGCTATTTATGATAATAATGATAGATTTATATCAACAAATATACATTCACCTAATAAACAAATACGAAAAACTTCAACATTATCACCAACACAAATTAATGGAAGAAATTCATCAATAGTAACTGGAGATAAACGTTTACAATATATTGAAATTATTAAAAAAGATAAACAAAATAAAACAGTCAAGTAAGTTTTATGAAGGAATCATTTCAAAGGATTCACTTCTTTTAAGCTCATATTTTGAACATTGCTTGTAAAATCTTCTAACTACATCAGATATCATCACAGAGGATGATTCGAACCGAGTAAGACCAACAACAAGAACATGTCAGAAGAAATCTATAGATCTTGATTTGTTAAGAATTTCAAGTGAACCAGCGTCAAGAATGACGATCTCATCTAACACAATTCGTGATTTCATGTTTCAGTTCGCGGAGAGCATAATTTAAGCTATTTTTCATCGAATCATACTATTTTCTTATTTTATTTTCATTTTGCTCAGCAAGTAAAGAAGAACTTTAATGATATGAGTCGATGCATTTTTGTATATTAAAAGTATGGCTGGTCACTTTGTAACAAATCATACTAATACAAGCTATAGAACTTTCATGACTCACGTTCATGCCAATGTCTACTCGTGTCCTATGATTAAAAAATCAGTCATATTGTCATCACTTGGCAAATAGGGTCTATTAGTTCCGAATCGTTAGTATTTTTTCTAATATAGATATCCTCTCTATATGCTCAAATTACTGACTCAAAAGTAATGTGTCATAGTAGAAGATTTTCTTGTTAATGAATTTTCTTTGATCTAATAATTTGATTATCTGTTGGTGGTTTTTTTTTAGAAATGACACAACAAATGCACTGTCTGATATTGATTCAATGCTCTCTGATCTTAATCGAGAACTTGATCAAATGCTTGATTATGAACCAATGTCTTCTACGACTCGACCTTAAACTTTTTGTCAGATGTTATTTTGAATAAGTAATATTCTTATTCAGATAGACAAATATCAGATTAATGAAATTTCTCTTTCTTTTTTAAATTAATTGTCATTCTTTTTCTTTTTCTTTTTTTCTTGTGTGTGTGTATATTCTTACATCTGATATTTCTGCCTTATTTATTTGAATGAAATTGAAACATTAACATATATATATAAATATATATATGTATGCGTGCAAATTAAGTCTCTCAGGAAATTTGAGAAACTATTTTTTTTTCTATACTCGAAGTCTGTTTATTTGTTCATCTTCTACGTTTTTTTAGTGTGTGTAATAAATAAAATGAAACAGATGGAAGAAAAATGAATAAATTCTATGTATTTAAGTAATCCATTACTTTAAGAATTGTATCAAGTAAATCTACATAAGTTCACTTCGGTTGAAATTTGAAATTTTTTAGTCGATGTTATCTAAATATGTCAGATATAAAATACTTTTTCTCATATATTCTTTCTTCAGATAGGCCTTATCTATCTTTTATATGCTTAGTATATAAAGAAAAAGGAATTGACTTGAGGAAAAGAAGATTAACATGATTATAGTTATGAGTATCATAAATAAGAAATGAAGGATTACAAGGAATAGATTTTTTCTCTAAACGAAAAAAAAAGGTTAATATGATCATTAACAAATGTTGATCGAACGTTGATAATTTTATAGTTTATTTATGATTACTTAGCAAATAAAGTTTTATGTTTCCTAGAATATTAATCTAAATAGAGATTACTTAACTTACATGATCAACATGAATTAAAGTATCTGATAGTTTAAAACAGATTAATCACTCTTTGTTTTATACATCATAATCAGTGTCTTTTATTTTAGATAGAAGTGTATAAATGGTACTTTCAAAAATTCATTTAACAAAAATATTATAATATGAATTAGTGGCAAAGAAAGTAATTATGACATAAATCTTATTAGTTTAAATGATGCATTGATTCGAAATATTAGTATAGATTAGTCAATAATTATTTTCACAAAACATGATCTAACTCAGACAGTAATTTTAGCAAAATGTCTAGATTTCGTTTAATGACTTCTATCAGAAATAACAACATTCCATTAAAAAAACGAATTCAGACAAAGTTTATCCACTGAACAAGTACAAAACCGTTTTTTTCTTTTGCTTGATTGAGAATGATATCATGTAAGTTAAGATCAAATTCTGCATCTAACTCAACCAATTAGATAGTCAACACAAGTTGTACAGCGAATTCGAATAAGAAAAGATCGAATACAATGCTAATTTCACATGCATTATGTAAGAATATTGCTGCAACCTCTTTTACATATTGATTGTTTCGAGGAAAATATAAAATCATGAATGGAACATGATTTGTAACAGTAACTAGTACTTGGTTTACCTCTTTATTTCCTATATGTAGATGTATGAATCAGTTTTGTCACTAAAACTTTGGAAATTGATGAAACTTGGAGCCCATATTCGTGTTTGGATATCTCAGAACTTTTCTGAAGACAATGTCGAAACGGCTTGATCCGTAATGCAACCTGCAAGTTCGATCAATTTCCGGACTTTTCTTGTTAGATAAGGCAGTTTTCTCCCCTCTCTTGGTCAGTTCCAGTATAATCCGTTTGTTTCTCGAGTTTGAAATCATCGAACTAGATAATTTCTTCATACACTTTCAAAGAGTACATTTTAATTTTTACCTGACATATAATACAGAGATATAATAAGATGAATTGAAAATACTTCTTAAAAACTCATTCCATGTATCAAGCTTTGCTGCTGCTCGAATCTGTATATGACTATAACGAAAGTTAGAATAACTATGATATGCCTAGTCCATCAACTAAACGAATAAATACTCGATTCAGACCTATTTCAACGGACTTCTAGACTATGCGGAAAAAAATTCGAATATTTCCATAGTGCAGAAGAAACTTAATGTATTTCAACGTGAAATTCATGCCCAAACTAAGATAAATAGTTACTCGATTATTATATAACTTGAATGTGCTATGAAATGCATGATAAATATCGAGCTAGTACTGTTGTTCATGAGAAAAAAAAGAAGAAAAATATTCGATGATAGTAAAGTAAGAATTCTTCATTTGGATGCAAGCAAGCGACACCGCAAACGATGTAAAACGACAAATATTGGCGTCATTTTGTCGTCATTTTTCGTTAGCTTGTAAACTGGCCTAACGGATTATGTCAGACTATGGTGAAAATCAATGCAGTAATGCGACGTTTCAGATCACTTCACACGCCATTACTGATAGTCGAAATTATTGCTGTGCGCATTTGATTCGTTCATAATTTGCCTTTGAGATAAACAACATTTCTTGGGTTTGTGTGTGTGTGACTCGATTACTGCAACTTACCTTTAGTTAATTTAGTCTAATAGGTAAGATAAGAAACTGACGAACGACCTCTGTCGGTTAATCATTGGATGAAGATGAAATTTATTATGAATCATGTAAATATCAGACCAGGCCAGCTAGACCACACATGGCGTTCTCTTCGAAATGTTTATTTTACATAACACTTAGAATTTATTTTAGAAAAATTTACACGAAATGGAATGACGATAAAAATTATTTTTCTTTTACTTGTTTATCTTATTAATGTAAAAGTTCATTAATGTTTTTAGAACGATCTTCGGTAAAATTTAATTAGAATAATGAATACAACGACAAAATATTTAGAACAAATGCTCAATGTCAAATTTGATCCAACATTTTTACCGATTGTAGCTACTAGTTTTATTGTATTTACAAGTCTTTATAAATTTGTTAATCCAGTTTTATCAAATTTATTAGTCAAAAATTATAAAAATTTAACTGAAACACAACAGATTGATTGGAATACAAGGTATTTTCTTATTTTTCTAATTAAAAAAGAAACCAAAAACTAGACAAAAAGAATTCTTTAGAATCAATTCATCAATTAATTCGATTGTTGTGGGTACTATTTGTGTATATATGATGATTGCTGATTGTGGACTTAATGCCAATCCTCTTGTGTAAGAGAAAATAAAAAATTATATTTTATTTTGTACCTATTTGAACTTCTCTTATGTAGATATAAAAGCTATTTACTAAAAACAAATTTATCTATTGTTATTGGATATTTATTAAGTGGTACGTAATAAGAATATTTTTTTTTTACTTTGCGGTGTTTATCTCATCGTAAAAAGTATGATAAGAAAAAGGACAAAAAGTCATGCAGAATAATAAAAACTTCGTATGTTTCGAAAATAAGTTGCGAAAAAAAAAAGTTTAACTAATGTTCATATGCATGGCATAAATAAAAGAAATTTATATTTATATAATAAATCCTAAAATAGAACGCCCAGCTCGAACTTTATTATTTTTTTCAAAGAAGATTTCTCACGTACAAAACCAGAGAAAAAAGATCAGATTTTAATCCTTTCAAAGCGGGACTCGTTTTTGAAATAAATACTATGTTCAATATTATGAAATATACTGTTCAATATAATACTTCTCAATTGGTTTACGAAAGTCACAGCTGTCTCTTTAATGTTTTTTTCTAATAGATCCATATGAAAAGTTATGAAATCATACCCGAATAGGTTCTAACATAGGATGAGCACTTATTGTTACGTTCAAAGATAATGATTGCTTGTGTTCTGCTTAGTAGGAATAGATTAGCATGTGCTCTACCTCAATGGAAAGAGAACAAAATTTGATCAAAAATGAATAGTTCAACACGAAAATATCATTAGCTTTAGCAATGCGACAGACAGTGAATATTAAAAGTAATAATAACTACTCACACATATTTAAATTTCGAGGGAGACCTATATACATAAGAGAGTGTAAAACGCGACTTTAGTTGACCTTGAACGAGTAAATTTCATAAAAATAAATTCTTATGCATTTCATTGCATTGAATACCAATGACGAACGTTTATTCATATTATCCCCAGTATACTGGTAGTAGATTACTGACCAGAGAACATCTACTGGTATGCTGCGGTAGAATAATAGTCAGAGAATAGCCAACTATTTAAGTATCAAAAAGCAATCTATATCGTGCAAATGATTTGATGTTTTATTTATCCAATAAATACGAAAAAGGTATTTAGTTGATTCACATACAAGGTGGAGTGTGTTATCGATCGCACTAAGTAATACGAGTGTTACTCAGATGAAACAGTGTTTACTTGTATACTATAATTAACAGTTTAACTAAAAACAGTAACTCATTTAACTCTTTGAAATTGAGCGGTAGACATTTTAGCGGTGAAAATTTTTTGTTAATAAATGATATTCTTCAAGATATTGAAGTATTCATGAACGCATCTTGCTCTTTTCGTTCAATAAATAATCCAACTTATTTCCCATGTTGTTTTTACAATCGCTAAAATATGCTGATCTTATGTGAATCATGATCATTATAAGAACAAATTTTTTATAACTGTCTAATACATAACTGCAATGATTGTCGGATTCCATCGTGTAGCAATTCTTTTTTTTTTGTAAAAGAAATCTACTTTTAATGGTGTCATTCTGAGTTAGATCAGGACAGTGAGAGTCATCACCAAGTGGTCCTATTTTGAGGCTTGTTATAAACTATTCTTTCTGATTCCAATCAGTTTTTAATATTTATTTTTGCACAAAAGTTTTCAAAAAGTATCTTTACTTAATTTATCCTTTGGTTCTAGCTTTTGATTCTATAAATAATCCATTAACTTCTTTTCTTTGACGATTAGCATTACGACTAAGTCATCCTAATTACACTAAAGTGTTGCTGGAAAGTAACAGGAAAATTATTTATTTTTAAGTACTCTTATTAAGATTCTAATGAATCTAATAGACAGTCATATCAATTTATGTGAAATGACATGTGTTTCCTCTGATGTGTTCTTTATAAAATCTTAATAGTAGAACTTTTATTTCAAGCATATATTTGAAATTGAAAAATTTCCATAGCTTTGTGATAATAATTTAATGTTATCTCTGTATGTTTTTTCAGCAACTTCTTCAAATTTTATTATCTAAATTGGCAAAGCATATCAATCTTTATATTTCTCTTCCTAAGTTTTGATTTTGATTAGTGTAATGTACGAAAAAGAAATACGTTCAAAAGCAAAAAAAATAACGTTTGAATACAATACTTAAAGCTTTTCGAAAGAATCCACTAGTTGTATCAGCAATGTTTTATCTAGCATGAAGATCAAAGTCCCTCTGACGATCGGTTTAGTTCTCTTGTAGTTTGTGGTTGTTTTACCATGTAATATGTATCTGTGCTCTCAAAAATAGATGTTTACCCTCTCTAAAGAATGAATCTGGATAAAATATTGTGTAATAATTTTCAATTTTGTGTTTTTTGTATCAAGTGCATAATATAAGTAATTAAAAATCGATAATTTATACTTTAGATACGATCATTGGTATAATACATTACAAAAATATTGGTGATCCATTTTCATTAGCTCATCATTTTGTATCTATATATGCTTTTGTTTATGTCTTAACATTAAATGTAATGCCATATTTTGCTAATTTTCGACTACTTGCTGAACTCTCGACACCTTCAGTCAATATCAGGTCAATCAGTTTGTTCTCTTTTTTCTTTTTTCTTTCTATTATTATTTTAATGTTTAATTCATTTTAGATGGTTTCTTGACGCATTAAAATATCCTAGAACATCAAAAATATTCATATTGAATGGATTGTTCATGACTATAGTTTTCTTTTTTGTTCGTATATTTGCAATGCCTATTTATTGGTGGAAAGTATATACAGTTGCAATAACACCATTATGGTCTCAGATGGGTCATTTTCGATTTATTCTTATTGTTGTATGTGTTGTACTTGATGTTATTAATTTATATTGGTTTTCAAAAATGTTTCGAGGTTGTGTCAAAATTCTTACAGATGCTTCTAAAAAAAGACATGATTAAATATCATGTCTATTTTGTTTTCCTTTTTGTTTTGTTTGTCTCTTTTCTCTTAAGTAATTTATAAGTCGGTGCAGGTTATCTTTATATTCTTAATGTATTGTTAATCACATAATCAAGCTAATTTATTAATTCATATTATTCTATGAAGAAATAAAAAACAACGTTATCTATATTTTCTTGTTTTTTTGTTTTTTTACTTAAGATGATTCCATTTGTATGGTTTACCGAATGCGATACAGGAATATATTTATTAACTGTAATGACCATTTCTACAGTGGTCTGTTTTCTACTTGGTTTAATTACACAAAATTATTCACAAGTTGATAAATTATGGAGTTTATTAGCACCAATATATTGTTTAATTGTTGTTTTATATTCACCATTTCAACCTCGTATTCTTTTAATGAATACTCTTGTTTGGATGTGGGGTCTTCGTTTAACGTATAATTTTGCACGAAAAGGTGGTTATACATGGTCAGGTGAAGATTATCGATGGCCTGTATTAAGAAAATTTATCAATAATCGTTTTTTATTTGAATTATTTAATTTAATATTTATTTCTATTATTCAAAATATTCTTCTTCTATTTATTGCTTCACCAATTTTTTATATAGCATACAATCAATCATTACCATTGAATTTATGGGATTTAGTTTGCACATTATTTTTCTTATTATTTTTTATTATTGAAGTTACTGCTGATCAACAACAATGGAATTTTCATGCTGATAAACAAGCAAAACAACCATGGACAAAAGATGGTTTTCTTCAAACAGGTCTATTTAAATATTCAAGACATCCAAATTTTTTTTCGGAAATAATGATATGGTGGGTTTTTTATGCATTTACATTCTCTGCTCAACCATATTCGTATGTTAATTGGACAATTTTGGGTACTATATCATTGACACTTTTGATAAACGGTTCAACAAGTTTTACTGAATGGATTAGTTCACAAAAATATCCAAAATATAAACAATATCAACAAACAACATCAAGACTTATACCATTCTGGCCTTCGAAGAAAGTTGATTAAATTTAATGAATTTACAATTAATCATGCCGACAAAACTTTAGATAGTGACATTTTATAGAATCAAAACAAAACTTTAAGTTTTTCAATACTACAGCAAAATTAGTGTCTATAATTATATTGACTTTTATTTCTGCTATTAAAATAATAAAGCATTATATATATATATTTTTTTTTTTGAAAATAGTCTTAGAATTTCAATTTTTTCCATTATAACTGCTAATCAACCGTTTTGAGTAACAAGATTTTGTTCAACAAACATCTTATTATGAAACAGTATATTGGATTGATTAACAGAAAATTTCATGAGAAAATTCAAGGCAACAATGTCTATGATGAAGAATATCATCGTATTTGAATAGTTATGCTCACTACATGAGCCTATGATGTTTTTTCCCACAACGGCTTACCACTAGCGCATTCTCTCATCTATAGCTAATGCAGACAAACATCAATATTTGTCAGATTTATATTCTGAGTTAATATTTACGAATAATGTTCAAAGCTTGTCTGTTGATGTTTTATTGATCGATATATTGAGAACGGATAGTTACGCTTTTTTTTGTATCATGAGACTACTTTATGATATCTAAACTTATCTGTCATAAAGTACATTTTAATGAAGAATAAAAATAAAATGACAGTGTTTCATGCAACTGAAAAAAACAAATCCGATAATCCATTACAGTAATGATAAGACAATATTAAATATATACATATATGTTAAGCGCCATCAGCATTCATCAATATTTTCGTTCAAATTAAGCTATGAAACTATCAAATAATCAACTCGATGATCATTTCATGACAACTAATCAAGATTATGGTTCTTTTTATTTGAGTCGATTACAACAAAATCAGATAAATTCAGATAAAATTGCATATGAATTATTTCTAAATAATCAAGTTCAAAATGAACGTCGTCAAATACCATCTATTGCTTATGATATTATGTTTGATGTGTGTTATTCAGTTATGATTTTTTAAGATATGTGTTTTTTTTTCTATATTTAGAAACATGATTCATTTCAGTAAGAAAAATGTCTAATATTTCCATGTTTCCATCACATCAATATTTCAGAATAGTTTCGCATAATAAAAAAATCAATCAAGTAAGCTTTTATCGATAGAAAACGTTTCTTGATTCTAGTAAGTATTCATCAGCCAGTCGTTTCAAGACGTCAATTAAAATATATCAAATCAAAAAATCAAACAAATGAAGAACGGCGAACCATAATAAAAAATGCTATAGAATCTTATACAATGTTTATTAAATGTATATATCAAAATAAACCACAGGAAAATGTATGATAATGTTTAATTAAAAAAAACAAAGAATAAATAAATGATCCAATTTATTTAGTTTCAAAAACCAAATGATGTATTAGAACTCATAGCTAATGAACTTTTCCTCTTAAATGTAAAAACATAATACATTGAAAATGGCACATCAAAATTTATTCTTTTCTATAATCTAGCCTGATATTTCTGCTGATGAATTGACAGAAAATATGATAGCAATTACAGTACCACATGAATATTTGTAAGTTGCAATCGAAAACAATATAATATCAAAGAAAATTTTCTCTATTATATTTTGTTAGAGGTATGCCTTCTATAGATCCGAATCAACCATATCCCGGTACAGAAATTGAATGTGCGAAAACACCACGCCTACAACGTATTCTCGAACATTTTCAAAAAGCTAAAGTATATCGTGATTTTCTTTTGCTGATCTTATTTAAATATATGGTTTTTTTTTTTAAAGAAAACGGTTGCCGAAAGTAAACAGCAATTTGATTCAAAAGCAATTAGTTCTCAAGCTATGCAAGGCGTTAAATATATTTATAATCCTTTCGTCAACGCTATACAATTTCGTCGATTATAACTTCATATATTTTTGTTGACATGAGAATGAGTTTAAAGCAGAAAAAAAAAACAGAACACGAGAAACAAAAAAAAAGAAAAGAAAACTCTTATTTTGTTCTTTATTTGTCAGGGCAGCCGTTGAGAAAAAAAAGGTAAGAATGCAATGATTACTTTTTAATAGACATTCTCGTGTAAAAGTAACAGTTCTTTTGTTTTGTGTGTATGTATGCAACAAGATGAGGTAAAAAATTGAAATCGTTGTTGAAAAAATAAATTAAAAGAATTTCGATTTTTTTTGTCGTTTTAGTTGTGCTAAATGTGAACGACCATTTCGTTATGGTACTCAAGATACTGTAACAATTAATAAGAAAACTTATCATCTTGATTGTTTATCATGTGATAAATGTTCGAAAGCTTATGATGGATCATTTTCACCGGATGAACTTGAACAAGAAGCACTTTGTCGAGAATGTGCCTATACGCAAAAAACAAAACCAGCAACTAATTTTCAACCAAATAATGCTGAGTTAAAAACAAAGTATGTATTTTATTGAATCAAAGATAAATTTAGTTGACTTTAGAAAGTATTAGTATCGAAAAAAAAATGATTTATGACTATGTCAAAAAGCATTATATTGTTTGCATACATTTATATTTCGCGAGTTAAATGTTTTTATAACAATTATTAGATAATGAATCGTTTTTATTCTTAACTAACGAGAGCAGTTTCACAATTGATTCATCGCTTTTGCATTAAACCTATGTGCATCATGTAGACCGAAATGAATTTTCACCATCTTAAAAAGATTTCGGGCTCTTAACTTATTGTTGCATAGACATTGTAAAACATATCCTAAAAGTGCTATATCTCGACAGTAATAAGCCTTATCAATTGAGAGTAGTCACATGTAAAGTTGACAAGAAATTATTGTTCCTATAAAATCATGTTTATAAATTAATAATAATCAGTATCTTATAGTATCGTAAATCTATCGAATACTCGATGACTGTTTAGTCATATGGCGCATGGGGTTTATATATACAAAAGAAAAGACATAATCATACGGAATAGAGATGTGCAGGATATGAGAAATGCTAACCTTGTACATTTCGCATATAGATCTTGATAAGAGTCATGAGGAGTAATTTTTCAATAGAAAAAAAAAGATAGAAGATTAGATGTACTAAAACCATCATCTAGTATTAAATTAATTGTAAAAATTGACTTTTTGTATATCTCTAAATAATATTTTTTTTCAAAATGCATTCATATTAATTTACAAAATAAAAATTTCATAAAAACCAACAGAATATCTTAAATTCAATATAGATGATTTGATATAAATAAATTTTCTAGTGTATTACGTTGTGGTGGTTGTGGTCTTCCATTTAATCCAACATCACGACATATAACAAAAAAATATAATAATAAAGAATATCATCATAATTGTTTGAAATGTCAAGAATGTCAATCATTAATTGAAGGTGAAATCTATGAAGATGAACAAGAAAATAAAATATATTGTACATCATGTTTTAAACAACATGATAAACAAAGTTTTCAAAAACAAAATCAACAAAAAAAACTTAATCAACAAAAAACAGTACATTTTGCTGAAAAACTTGCTGAAACATTAAATCGTGATGAATTAGAAGCATATTATAAAAATGATAAAGGACGTATTAATGATTCATTTCTTGTTGGAAATGAAAGTCATACTGGAGAAATTAAATTGTAAGTATAAAAATTTATAATAAAAACAAAAAACTTGTATTTTCTTCTTGAAAATCTCATCTAGTTGTGCTGCATGTATGTTACCATTTCATGCTGGCTCTCGAATAACTCAAGCCACTGATAAAGAATATCATTATGAATGTTTTTGTTGTGAAAAATGTGCTCAACCAATAAATGGAACATTTACAGTGAATTCTAATGGAACAAGATTTACAGTTAGTATTTTTTATCAAAAGAGAAAATAAACAGAAAAGATCATTTTTAATATATTTTTTTTTGTTGTTTGTAGTGTGGAAATTGTCTTCAAAAAGTTTATTTATCATCATCAATGATTATATGTACTGAATGTGGACAACCCATAGAAGCAAATGTTCATAGTCGTATTGATTTTAATACTCGTTCATATCATTCCGAGTGTTTTACATGTGCTCTATGTCACAGACGTTTAAATCCAGCTCAAACATTTACATTACATAATGATCAACCATGGTGTCGTCAATGTGAAAGTGATATTAAAAATTGTTATTCATGTAGAAAACCAATTTTATCATCGGGTATAACATATGAAACACGAGATTATCATGTTGAATGTTTTAAATGTTCACATTGTCATAAGTTATTAGAAAATGAAAAACTACTTTGTGCAAATAATTTACAACCATATTGTGTTACTTGTAATGATCTATTATTTGCTAAACGATGTAACAAATGTGGAAAACCTATTCCATTTGATACAAAATATACTATATTTGATGATAAACCATATCATGAACAATGTTTTCTATGTGTTAAATGTCATCGACCAATTGGTTCGAAAAAATTTTTTAAAGATCAACGTGGATTTATATGTTCAAATTGTGCTAAATCTTAAATTGGATGAATAATCCAACAAATACAACGGAAGAAACTTTAAGAATGACAAATAAACGTTATATTAATCATTTTAATTCATATAGACAAATAAATCATTTATAAACACGTCAATAAAAATCGTATTATGTTGATTTGACTTTAGGTGTGTCCTGGATGCCGGTGCCAGCCATTTGTTTTTTGGATTCAGGTTCTTTCTAGAGAAAACTATATCATAATTTATTTGTATGATTCACTTAAAACCATAGAATATTCAATTATAATGTTTAATTTTAGTACAAACAGCTTTTTTCTCATAGTCTCGGTTTCTATCTCAACAACTACCTTTGCTAGTGGTCCTGCACATCTCTTATTCTGAGTGATGGTTCACGTTTAAGGAATTATTCATGGATCGATTTTGAACAGTTCTATATGACAATGTTTTCAACTTTCATATCTCAGGCGTAGAGCTCTTTATTGGTCTCTGAAACTCAATTTCGCCAGGCTAGGAGTTACGCCAGAAAGAGATTCTCATTAATAATTAGAACAATAAGAAGTATGTATGCTAATCAACAGCGATAATTAGTAATAGAAAAAAAAAATAATTATATGGCATTGCATAACTTTCGTAACAGAGAACTAAATTTTATTCAGATTATTGTCAAAAATAAGTGCAAAAAAGAAAAAAGGAAGAAAATGTAGAAAAGAAGTTCGTTTTTTTATACATTATATATAATAATGACTTCTTTAAATGGTAAAAAATACATATTTTCATCGTTGTTGTGTTTTTTTTTAATTTCATTCATTAACTTGATGAAAGACATCTACAAAAATGTAATACTTCTTCTATTCTGAAGTAAGTCGTGCTGTTCGTCGATTGATTGTTGTTTCTTCAATAATGAATGTTCCTGCTAGTCGAGTTGAATATCGAGTTTGATAACGAGTTTTAGTTGGTATTTCAACTGGTTGTGGTGGTACTAATTAAAGTCAAATATAAGCATTAATAAAATAGTAATTATCAATCTATTACCATTTTGACTATCTTGAGGTAATCGAATAGTTGTTCGACGAGTTGTTCGTCGTTTATTACTGTTTTCAAGACTACCTGTTGGTACAGGCGGTGGTAATTGTGTAACAATTGGACTTTTTAATGTTTTACTTCGATTAGACGTTATTGATGTTGATAATACTTGATCAATTGATCTTTTCTCTGTTCTTCTTGATGTATCTGTTTGTTGTTGTTGCTGTTCTTCTTCTTCTTCCTCTCTAATATATACATATATTAATCACAATTATTAAGAAAATAAAAAAAGATTAAAATAGAAATTCTTACGATTCAGCCGATGCTATAGGTGATAATTTTGCAGCATCTTCATTGATAACAATTGTTGGTCGAACATAATCTGATTTTTGAGCATCAAATGTATTATTATTTAATAAAAATGTTCTTCCTAAACGATTTCGTTCAGTATCATTATCTATGACAAGAAATATTATATACGAAGCAAACATAAATTTTATTGTACATACGAATTTTAATTGGTTCACGAAAACTAACTTTTTCTTGTTTTATTTTTGGTTTTTCCTCAAGAGATTTATTAGGTAAAGAAAGTTTTTCTTGTCGTGATAATCGATCACGAATACGAATTGATTGATCAGCAGTTAATAATAATGGACGAATATTTTCTTTACTCTCAACAATAAGACTTTCTTCAACTACTGTATGTTCATCATCATCATCATCATTGTCATCATCTGTTCCTTCTTGAGATGCTAATGGTTTTAGAGATTTTTTAACAAATGTTTTATCTGATATCGTTGAACGTATCGATTTATTATGTTCTTTTTTTTCTTCATCATTATTCATTGTTGGAATAAATGGTAAAAGTGAAACAGATAAATCAGGATTCGTTATATCTGTTTCCATTTCTGTTTCTTTTTCAATAGCAGATACATCACGTAATGTCATATGATTTACAGCGGCTTTTGTTGGTGATGGTAGTCCTTCATTTAATGTTTCTTCATGAACAGTAGTTGACATATTTAGTTGAGAAGTAGCAATCATTGAAGTATCTTGTAATAATTTTGAAGCACGTAAACGAGCTTCTAAAAAAACAGTGAAAATAAATTCAGCATATAGTCGACTGATTCAAATAGTAAAAGTAAAGACAGGATTATAAATAGCATTATGATAAAAAAATTGAAATCTGTTCTCTTCAGTTCATTCAGATCTTTTTTCAGATAAATATTGTAAAAAGGATATTACAGTGACGTACTAGTGTTGACTTCACTATCAGAATTACTTAGTTTAAATAGTGAAATTTACATCCGATAATTAAAATACACAATATACGATTTTATGACTCTCTTTTGATATTGGAATCAATTATGATCATATGGTTAAATGCACATATATATGATTTCTAGATGATAAAAATATGGGATGCTTCATCATCTATTAGAAAAGAGAAGAATATCCCTGTCTTTAGCTACCTTGCGATATCGAGTGCATCTTAACGATAGGTTTAGTGGCTTAATATCTTCTCTAAAAACTAATACTAGCTATAGTTTGGGACAAAAGGCCAATCTGATGTAGATGATAGCCAATCCGAAACGGATAGCCGTTAGTAACTTGGGTAGGATTATTCCATGACTGGTAATATTGAGATTTGAACACAGTACCATGTAGATATGTGTTGAACGACTCAGCCATAGTGGTCCCTGTCATCTGTTCAATTATCACCCGCTCCTGCCTTTAGTGCTGACTTACACCTTTGAACTTTCTAATAGGTATTTTAACTTCTGTGATAAGTTAATTAAAATTTTTAATCACTCGTGTTCTTCCTTACTCTTTAATGTTTGAGTAATCAATGGTGTTAAAGTTCGTGCTTGCTAAATAAAATACAAGAATTGATATGCTGAAATATATTTAATCAAACAAATTTTTACCAATAAAATAGATACATCATTATTTTTTTCTTCTTCTTCCTCATCATCTCCTTCTTGTTCTTCATCTTCTTCAATGATTCGACTAAAATCTGGACTTTGTTTAACATTTCGAGGTAAACCATTGCCACCACCATATGAACGTAAATCACCTGGTACGACTAATTTTCTATGAAATAGAAGAACAGAAACAAGAACCTATTAGAAAAAAAAAAAACGAAACTTTCATCATGATTTTTACTGTTGTAACATGGCATGGATTTCTTTCCAATGATCAGCTTCTTCTTGTATACCATCAGAAATAATCCGACATTGTTCATTAACAAATCTACGTAAATTTTCCATACGCTACAAAACAAAAACTAATAATAATAAAAGATTTTTATATACAAAACATTGTCTTTTTTACTGTTTGAAAATACAATTCAAGTGATTGTGTTGCTAATTGAGTCATATTATCAAGTAGTTGAAGTTTTTCAACATATTTTTGTAAATCATTATCACATCGATTGATTTCATGAAGAATTTCATTATTTTGATTTGTAAGATTTTTCAGTTCAATATTTAATTGAACTAAAATAAGTCGAAAATATTAATTTTTATTTAAGTTTTCCTTTTAAACTTACTATTTGCTGCTCGATATAAACATCGTCGAGCTGCATATCGTTTTGTTTTTGATTCAACAAAACGTTTTTCATTCCAAACAATTGTTAGCATATACACTGATTTATTACCGAACATCTTTTCTTTTGTTAAAAACGAAATGAAAGAAGTAAATTTTGAATTTTTGTTTCAGATTTTGTCTTTGTTTTGGCGTCTATTACGTAAACGAACCAATTATGATTACTTCGATCCCATAGAACAGAGGTCACTCTTCTACATTTTCAAATTCTCTAGTCAATTACTTTTTTTTCTGTTTCTTTTGTATGATGAATAAAAAAAAACAACAACAAAAACATTCGTAAATCATAGGCAGTCATTTCTTTGATTCGAAACACAATAATGACTACAGTAAGTGAATACGATGTCAAGTCAAAATACACACATGAATTTTACCAATTAGGATGAAACAATAATCGAAGAACATGATAAAAAACTTGAATCATCATTAACAATCGATTCGACAAATGATGATGATGATAATAATAAAACTTATTCTCTAAAAGAAAAATTTCATGAAGTTGATGGTGGTGCTGCATTATCAGATGGCGGTCTTGTGGCAAAATATTGCTTTCGAACTTTATCGAAATATCCAATTATTTATGGTTATAAACGATATTCATATGGAACACATCATATTCGTTTTCAAATTGAAAAAAAAGGAGATTTACGTTTCTTTTTTGGAATTACTACTTCATTAGAAAAAGTCAATAGAGTTATGTCAACAGAAACAGATAATAAATCTCTTTATGGATGGTGGGGTCTTAATAGTATTGTCATTAATGGTAAAGTTCAAAGAAGTAAAGAAAAAAATGATATTGAAAAATGTGATGAATTAACATTAACATTAAAGTGTGACCATCAACAGATAGAATTAGAACATCATCGAACTCAACGTTTATTAAAATTATCAATTGATATTATATTATGTCCATTTCCTTGGAAAATAGTTGTTGAATTACCTACTTATGGTGATTGTGTACGTATTATTCAATAGAATATTCAATCTAGTCATCACTATTTTATTATAAAATATTGAATAAATAAATATTTTTCAAGAATATAATTCTTTAACAATAAATTATTTTCTTGAATATTAATCGAAAGAAAATGGATTTATTGTCATTGATATAATGCATAGAATCTTATAGAAAATTATCTGAAAAAAAAAACTCAAGTAAAGTTTTTGATTTTTCTTTGATATTGAACAATGGCAGTTATGAAGAGTATCCGACGTGATCAATTGATTTTGATCACAAAAATATGTATTAAGAAAAATCTAATATAATTAATTATTAACAAAGATATTCTTGTTAATCTTTGGAAACAAAATGAACAAGGATCATACATCCAAAGTTTGACATTATTTTAGCATTGTAAATTGTTCAAAATATAAGTTATGATAATGTCATACGTGATTTTTATACATTACTTATTCCATATAAAAATATAAAATGTATGACTAGGTTACTCATTGTAACGAAAATTTAGTCAAGGTCGTGAGTGTTAGTCATGCTGGATCTTGGTTGTGTAATATACATCAAGAAAACGTCTAAAAATTATCTTATCGCCTATAATAAATATGTATAATCATAGTTTGAAGTTAACTATTCTTTGCAACGATATCAACGAGTTATGATCGCTGTCAACTTTTTCAAAACAAATATAACGTTTTTTTATGCTGCAATGAACCACAATTTTACATAGATAGTATACATTTTCTTCTGTAAACTATATCGCTAATCGAAACAAGAACTTATTCAATATTTTATTAAACAAACATTACAATCTTCTTGTCACACAGTTACAAGAATCTTTTTCTCTCTCGTTCTCATTCTTTATGTTCATAATGTTTCATTATGCATTTCTTTTCCCGTTCTTCTAGTACTGCAAGACAAAAAGCAAAAAAAATTCACTCTTTCAATGTAATCTACATATTCTTTTATATTTTCTTTTTCTTCTTTCACAAGTATCGTAGAGAAGGTTATAACCACAGAATGTATGTGGATTTCTTTTTATGAAAAAATGTGTGAACTTTGATTTTTTTTTTCTAAGTTGAAAATGGCAACAATTACCGCAAAAAAACCATGTGCTAAATGTAGTAAAGGTAGTGGTGTCACTACATGTGATGGATGTCAACAATCATTTTGTACGAAACATTTTGTTGAACATCGTCATGAACTTTCTCAACAGATGAACAATATTACTCAAGAACATGGTTTACTTCGACGAGATTTATCGAAAGAAAGTCCAAAACATCCATTATTAAATCGTATTGATACATGGGAACGTGAATCAATCAGTAAAATACAAGCAGCAGCTGAAACAGCTCGAGTTGATCTTCGACAATTACTTGATCGAACCCAGAATGATTTGAAAACATCGGTAGAAAAACTAACTAATGAACTTAATTCATGTCAACAATCGGATGACTTTACAGAAAATGATCTTAAACGATGGAGTGAACAACTAAAAGAATTGCGTAAAAATCTTGATACTCCATCAGCTATATTTATTGTTAATGATGATGATATGAAATCATCTATTCGTTTAATTCGAGTTTGTGACAAACAACAAAAACAACAAATTCAACGTCCTTGTACTCCTGTAATTCGAACACTCGAACATCGTATTCATAGTGTGAAAGACTCTGTTTGTAGCATTAATGAAAAATTTGGAGACATTGACGGAAAGGCTACTTTATCTGAAGATAATCTTATTGTTACTTGTTGTTTAGCATCTATATTAACACAACCAATTATTTATGGTGTTAATCGATATTCTACTGGAAAACATCAAATTCGTTTTCGCATTGAGAAAATGGGAGATTTACGTTTATTTTTTGGAATTATTCGATCATTAGAAAATATTAGTAGATCAAGTCAAGCTCAGAATAATAATAATTCTCTTTATGGTTGGTGGGATCTTAATGAAGCTATTATAAATGGAAAAGTACAAACAACTAAATATAGAAATATCGTATCATCAGGTGATGAACTTACATTAATATTAGATTGTGACAATAAACAAATTCAATTACAACATCATCGAACAAAAAGATTAGCACAACTTTTAATCGATCTTAATAAATGTCCATTTCCGTGGAAAATAGTCATAAGACTTCAATCAGCCGGTGATTGTGTACGTATTCTTCAGTAAAACATTCAATTTAATAATAATTAGACTTGTTATGTCGTTTTTCAATGAAAATAATAAATGAACATGTTCATTAAGTTTTTTGAAGTACTTGAGAAGCAACGACTTGTGAAGCCGAATCGCTTTATTTTTTCAAGTCTACATAAAATAAAATATTCAATAAAGTCTATCTAATTAGTAAAACGTATTCAGATGTACATTGATAAAGTACGTACATTTTTATACATAATATGAATAATTAATGAAAACAACAGCAGTGCTATATCATGAGAATAAGATGATAATTCATACAGAAATGTCCGCACTTCGACAAAACGACCTTAGTCTATTTTTTTAAAATACAATAGCTGAAAAAAAAAGTAATTTTTATTTAAACCGATGGCATCGGTATTTTGAACATAATCAAATGCTTAGTTATTTGTTTTAGATAACGATCATTTATCTGTAATCGAATATGTTGGTTGTTTTGCCCTTTATTTTCTATTATAAAATATGAGGCTGTGATTTGATGTAAATTAAACATATTTGAAAGCGAACTATATGAATCCTACTCATCAAATGAAACAGTGCTATCAACTAATAAGAACAAAACTACTATGTAAGAAATACAAAACCAGCTGAAGGACTCAGTGAAAAATTTTCCGATTATAATCGGATTAATGTGCAATAAAATTACAAATATAAATGACTTAGAAGATTTTGACCATTAAAAACGGCTAAAAATTTTCTAAATCGATTATAATTTTGATTTTGTTGTACAAGAATCCGATTATAGTTGAAGCAGTTTCTACTAGTGAGTTGTAATGTGTGATGCATGTCAACAATCATAATGAACTTCGACAAGATATGTGTAAAAATTGTTGAAACTAAAATTCATCAACAAAATTCAAAAAGCAACAGAAGTCGTGAGAATTCATCTCCAAAAATTGCATGCATAAATGAAAAATAAATTTAAAGCATACTTGTATAAACTGACTAGAAAACTTCAATCAAGACGAGATTTCATTGAATATATAGAAAATAAATTTCAATGATGGATTGAACAATTTAAAAAATTTTCTAAAACACTTGAAAATATGAGTGTGGTTGCGCTCTCGGAGTGTGCTTGTATGCGTTGCTATTGTTGTTGGTAATGACCCGTATTAATGTACATACAGAGAAGAAACATACTCTACTATCATAGCTATAGTCATACCCCCATACCCATGGCGAGTACGAGAACATGCATAATTTGTTCGGTAAATAGTCGGAGCACATGTTCAGAGTAGAAACCTTTTTGCTCAAATGCGTAAAAATGGCTATTCTTTGACTTATATATGCTGATTATCGTTAGATTACTTACTTTTCTGATCCAAATAATGGCATACTTGGAATTATCATCAAGAACTCAGTTAATTTATATATGTTTGCGACTGTTTGGATAACTTTTATCTGTGTCTAAAAGTATGTCATGTTTTTTTTTAACCAGGAAAGTAACTTATTCGATCATAAGCGGTATATATATGTCGAAGAATAGCCACTTTTACCTATTCGAACGAGAAGCTATCCACTCTGAACATGTGCTCATCATTTTAACTGAACAAATTATACATGTTCGTTAAAGACCAACTGGTGGCGGGAATGCTATGGTATCAAAACACAACTCAAGTCATACTCTATTCTTTATCCAATGAATGAACTTATGGACCGTTGTCTCCATTTTAGAATAACCTTCCGTCCTCTTAGCTCACAACAAGAAGAAATACTACGAGTGACTGTGAAGTTTGTAAATGGCTCAAGTATTCCTAATCATATTCATTTCAGTGAAACCATCAAGCAGATCAGAACAGAGACTGATGTGTTCCCGTCCAACGAACGTTCTTTTCGATCAGATAGTTGAAATCGAAATAAAAAAATGTTTGTTCCGACCGGGTAATATGAGACGTGGTCGATTTTGTCATGCAATATCTCTTACATGAATATCAAAAGCTGATCAACATTAAATATCGATAAAATATTTTTTTTCTAGATTACAGTGATATCTTTCAATGTGTTCTTTGGAACAGTAAAAGAACCGGTAGGCTGTTAACTGTTTTTTTTCTCGAGTTATTCAAAAACAACCATCTGTCTTCATCTTTGAAGTGAGTAACAAATCTGTGTATGTTGAATTCCTTTCAGCAACACGCCATGACTGTCTTTTTACGACTTGTTTATCGTTTTCTGCGTAGTGTGTTACCTTGTGTTAGGATGGAGTGTGCATTGAATTATTTCTTCATGAGGGATTAGTTTAAGGATTTTTTTTTCTTCCTTTGTAAGCTATAGTTGCTTATCTACGAGTATTTGTCGTAAAGGTAACGTACTTGTCTAATATGAGTAACTGGAGTGTATAATATGAAATATGCGTAATTATTTTGGCATGTGAGAGAGTAAAAGAATCTACGAGCCAATCTACACTGACGTAAGTAAACACAGAGATGATTAGAACGACTATAGGGTTAACTGACAAGAGTGTCGGCAACGGTCATTGTAGACGCAAAAGTTCAAAGCTGGATTTGCATATAAGTTTCATTTCTCCATCTCATAAACCATCAAAAATCAATCATTAAGAGCAAGTTTGACATTTCGGTCAGATCAACTATCTATCTAGACATGTTAGCCGACAACCTGATTTTGAGTGAACCTCATTTATTGTCAAAAAAGATATGATAATTGTCTAGTACCACTGAAAATTTCATTATACATGAACAACTTTGATGATTTAATAGGAACTCTCTCTACATCAAGACATCTTTGATGTACTTTTTAGAGCTCACCATATTCACAATCGACCACTGGAAGAACACGAAATATTCTAGCAAAATGAGACCACAACTAAAGTTTAAAAAGTGTATACATTGTCGGAGTGCTATTCATGATCAGTATATGTAAGATTTTAAAAGTTCTTTTGCGCAACATCTGCAGATGATCTTCAAGTATCGAAAACTTCCGTTATTCAATATGATTAAGGTCTTGTTCTGCATTGGTTCCAATAGATCAATCATGAGCTTCTTAGAAACGATAAGATAGCATTATTTGTTTTCATCCTTTGTCAAACTTTCGCATAGAGATAGATATAGATACATATATGTACAAAAGATAAAGGAAGTCCGCAACCAAAGAAATCATTTGGTTCATACATGATGCATGTCAAAGTTGTCTTTGCTGTTATAAGTGGTTTTCAAGCTGGTTTCCTAATAGCGCAGCCAGTTACGCATTAAGAATGCTCAACTGCATAACAAAAAACATATTTTTTGCCAACTATCTCTAAATTGTGGCACATATTATATTTCGTGAATATTTCAATCAGCTTTGGTTGTATAAAGTTGAGTTTATACACAAAATCTTTATCGTTTGATTCTCTACTGAATGTGTATTGCTAATAGTTCATTGAAATTCAGCTTTATGTTGTTCTCAAGAGATCCATATGTGAAACGCCTAAACTGGTAGAAAAATATGAGTTCATGGGTTCATACCTTGATATTAAGTATATAAGGATAGCACGTCAGTATTAGCTTAATCTAGTATTAATCGAAAAGTATTAAAGTTAGTAATATTTAACGTTACTGCTAACTCGATTGTATCATCACGAGTCTACCTCTTCAGCTTAATGTTTTTCAGATATACGAAATAGTTGTGATTCATAATAATTTGGGTCAGTATCGATATGTTCTTCTTTTTCTCGTCTTCCATCATTGTCTTCTCATCTTCTCTTGTTTCTACTGATTAGATATTCTATGTCTGTATAGTTTGCTTCCCAATCAGAAGCTAAAAGAACTAAATCGATGGACACGACAACGTCAAAATCATCGCAGCTTGACAACTCAAAACGGCATTCTATTGATGCAATAGTCGCTCTACTCACACCGAAGCCGGTACTGACTCTTGTCGAAAAACTCGACCAGAATACAGACGAAGCTGAAGACAAAGGTTGCTGCCTCAGTTTCGATAATATTTGTTGTTCAACACTCAGTCGATGGTGGAATGTTCGTTATAAGTGGCAACGTGGAATGGTTCACTTTGTCGAACAGCCACCTTTTCACATTGCTATAATTGCATTCGTAATCGTCGACTGTTTACTTGTAGTAGCTACACTCATACTTGATTTTATTAAGCTCAAGGAACTTTGTGATGCTAAACCTATTAATGAAACAACTGTACACAGCGAAGATAAGTTGTATCGAATAGAGTTGGCCATTGAAATTCTGCATTATTCCTCATTGGCATTGTTAGGTGTGTTTCTTATTGAAGTACTCGTCAAAATGTTCGTGTTTGGACGGCACTGGTGGAATATTCATGAGAAAAAAATGGAATGGCTGGATACTATCATTGTTATTGCTTCTTTCGTTGTTGATTTAGTTATCATTTTTCAAAGCAGTGTTTTCGCTGAAATATCCTTACTCTTCATTTCACTTCGTCTATGGCGTGTTGTAAGTTGTTGTTATTAACTCAATAAATTTATTTTGACCTCTCGTCTTTTTAGATTCGAATCATTAATAGTAAGAACTGTTCATTTTTTGGTATATCTTTATTTTCTTTCTCTTTCGTCTAGGTGTGGCTCAGACCATTCGATCTGAGGACGACAAGAAAAAAAAACATTTAACTAGTAGTTATCATGAATTAATCCAAATACTCTTGACTATTTCAGAAAAAAAAACTGCTGTGATTTCAGAACTTGGTTGCAAAACAACATCAGGAAATTCTGATAATACTCTTGAAACGTTTGAAACAATTGATAAATCATGTCGTGCAATGCTTGAACATTGTTCACAACCGTCATCGATGGATGCTATCAATGAAATGACTCATCATTTACAAGATATCTTAGGAAAACTTCAATTGATATCATGAACAATGACTTTATTGCCTAGCCAGAATATTGATAACTGATGCTGTTCAATCTGTCATGTATATTTTGAACATATGATGATTTGATCTTGTTTACCATTACAATAGAAACTTATTAGTTCTAAGTGTTGAAGCTAATTAATTTTATTTTCGTAGTAGCAGTATTCTTACTTCTGCTGATTTGACTCATAAACAATGTTTTCCATTTATCTGTGCTGGTTTACTGCAGAAAAGAGCTGCAACATTGTAGAAAAACTTCAATAACTAGTTTCTTACTTAAGACATGTTCTATAAAAATATTCTAGAATTCTCCTGTATCAAAGAACATGATTGTACTCATGTTTTGAATCGGATCATGCAGAAAATATTCCATATCATAATGCTATCATGAAATCCAAAATATCGAGACTTTATAGCTTGTAGATAAATTTTTATAGCTGATTTACTGATTGTATACAGATTGAGCCGTAAATAGCATACGAAAGAAAAGATGAAATATCTTCAGGTGGATTCAATCAAGTAGACTGCTTTTTTTTGTTTAGCATTAGAAGTTTATACAGACGTTTTTTTCATACAGATAAAGTAAGCAAACACTACTACTAACCATAATGAAAACATATAGTTTTTTCTCATACAGTACTCAATAAAACAGTAATGCATTTTAAAAAAAAAGGATGGGATAAAATATAAAATTAATATAATTACGAGCCATTCCACATAAGCCACGACCGCCTTTTATAGAAGTTGCTCAATTGATAGTCACTGATTTGACTGATATTTTTACATGTTATAGGGCCGCGCTATCATAAAAAAGACATTTTTTACTGTTTTTTCTGACAGCATATCTCTTTAAGGATATATCCGTTTTGCTTGAAATTTTTACTGTAAGTCTATCTGAAGTTTATCAATTTTTTATAAAAAACGAGTCCAAATGAATGATCCATTAATGAGTAGTTGATCCAGAATACCCAGTGTATGAAAAAATGTTCATTTTTTGGTATCTTATGCATATACATATCGACTGAACAAATCATGCTAGAAAGTTGAAATCTAGACCACAGAGAAATTTCATTAGGTATTAGGTCTGATAACAAGTTCAGCTCTCTAGCTAGTTTGTATTGCTCCGAATGTACGCGTCAAAAAATATGGTTTTAGTCGAGATCTCGACGAGGATTCGCTTTAGAAAGTTTTGAGAGGTACGATTTTTGACAGAACCAGCAAATTCACCTGCGAAACAATGTTCGAGTCCTCGTCACATCTCTCCCATGCATTTCCACGGTTGCTTGGGGCGTTGTCAGCGAAATACAGTTATGCTGTTTCACTCCAGCAGTCAGTAACATGACCTATTTCATAAAAAACGCGTCATTTGTGAAGATTGATCGCGATTAATTAGCGATTTTTCAATAGACTTCATCAGTAAGTATTATTGTATTAAAAAGAAATTTATTCAGATCATCTGACCGTTAAAGTGAATACTCATGTGATTCAAACCGGAGAAACATTGGCGATACACGTTGTTTTTTTTTCGAATGGTGTACCATGGTATATTGTATCAAAATAGCAATGTACCTTTTATGTTCGCTTAAATTGACTCATTTGAATCGATTTCGATGTAGTTCAATTGATGTTGATAAATCTGAGCTGTCTAAAAATGCCTTTTGTACTATTAATTGCAGATAAGGAAAAACAAATCATTCTTCTTCTCATTCATCAGACACCTGTATGAGTCCGATGATTAACAACAGTGGTATATACATGTTGAGACGTGGTCACAGTCGTGGATTCGAATACTAGGACTACGTCAAATTATCGAAAATGTTGCAGAGTGACTCATAAATAATACTAAAATAAAAAAAGTGACATATCTCCACATCAGTCCTCTTAAATATGTTGATTTTTCTGTTAGCTTAAGAAGTTAATTTAAATTTTGTATCAGAGGAATTAAAAAGCAAATATTGTTTCTAAGTATGTTTTGTCGTATCATGCAAGAAATATAATCTATTATCATCTAAAATAATACATGTGTAGGTTGTCACAGATCATTTTTAGTTGTCAAATCGGAGAATAATTAATAAGAAAAAGTCGAAACGAACTCTATGAACCGATCTGTATTGTTGCACATACAGCAAATGTTTAAAACTTGTTAGCTTAAATCCTAAAATTTGTGCCGCATAAGTAAAATACACAAATGTAGCCTTGTGAGTACCAAAACATGAAGTTTCTTGCAAAACGCAGTGTTTTCATGTTTGAAAACTCGAAATTTTGTATTCGTTGACTTTCAGTCTAATATATTTTTATAAGTTTGCTCTATGTACACCAATACAGATCCATTCATAAACTTATTAGTTAATAATAGATCCGATTGGTTTCATGAACGGAGAAAAATACTTAACAGTAATATTTTTTTGCTTTATGTCCATAAAAAAGTTTGAATAAATTTCTAACACTAACAAAAAGATCAGTCTATTTCATTAAACGGATGTCAAGGTATTTTACTATCTTTATTTTAGTGTTGTTCATTGAGCAGCGTCTGTTTGAATAACAGCAATTTCGATGACATGGGGAGTTTATTTCTCTGATGGATTTTGATAGAAGGAGCTGCGTCGTGATTTGGTTGCTGTCGTTATCGAAGTTTATTTTGTTGCAATAGAAATAGTGCATGGCAGTTTCGGTAGCAGTATTTTTTTTTTCTACACTTATTACCGTAGAACTCAGATCTCATATGAACGGTTACTTGAAGAGTGAGCGGCACTCAGGTGAAATTGATTCTCTTCTTGCTGTTCGTTCTCTCTTTGTCTCATAAGGTCATCGAGTGAAATTTCTCAACATGTAAAAACCGACGCAAATAGAAAAAAAATCACGAGTTCCAGTTTTTTTATCGTAGAGAGTAGTTAATTATTATTCATTTCTGTACTGTATATGTTCTATGTCCTTAAAGTATACAAGAGGAGAACGTTAACATGAATCATTCAGTAGGACTAAGAAGAATATAAGTTATTGCTACTACTCTCTCTTGAATATTCATGTCCCTACTTTTAGACATATGCCATATGGTTTATGGCTCGAGAAGAACCTCTTTAGAGCTTTTGATTGTTCGATTACAAGACCAATATCGACGTAATAAGTAACGCACTCAATTTTCATATTTTACGCATTGTAATTTGTCTACTATTTAAAGACTTAGCGTTCGAATAAATTTCTCATAATATAATCCGATATTTGAAATGCAAAAAACACTGATCTTTTTTGGCCTTCTAGCTTCACTTGTGCTCACGGAACAGGCACACGGTGCTGAAGTCAGTATTTCCTTTGAATTAGTTAGACATATGTTGATTGTTATTATTATGTAGCTCAAAAGTTCACCGTCGGAATGTTGGAAAGCATGGAGTCGTTGTACTCCAGGAACATCGTGGGGTACTGGTTGGTTGTGGCAATCGTGCCAAGATCGATGCAACTGTCAACAAGCCGAAACTGGTAAATGTGAATCTGTTCCAAATACTTGTCCAGAAGTATTTGAAGGCTCCACGATTCAGCAATGTCACTGTTATGGTACTCGTTCGCTCTTATCTTGGCTGGAAAAAGCAAGATGCAATCTATGGCCATCATAAGACCTTATTCATTTAAAAATAACAGGACTCATTCTTATTTGCTTATAAGTTGTATCGATGCTTTGTCATGAATAAAGAATGCTAATTTATATTGATTCAGATTGAGGTTGTGAGTGTGGATATGGGATATGTGTACATGGATTGAAAAACAGACTGACTTATCTCTTGACGAAGAAGACGAGTTCAACCTGCTATTCTCAACTTTTGATGTGCAGCAATCGATCCAGTCGAAATAATTCTAAAGTATTGATAATGTGCTTATTAAAATAATGAATAAAGAAAAATGCAGATTTAGTTTAGTCAACCCGTTTCGTGTTATTTATTAAAATCTTAATATACTCGTTAGAGCTCTGCATGACATTTTTGAAGCATAAGCAAGAAAATACAACACTTTGAATATGAAAGAGTAACAAACTGAAACAGGATAAACAAAAGAAAAAAAAAGAACAACAAGTCAGGAGCGAATCGTAGATTAATTATAAATATTTTTAATCTTTGGAATATTGAAGAATATCATGGATTCGAAATAAACACCATTTTAATATTTTCTTTAATATTTTTATTTTATGGATATAGCTGTTGTTGAAATCCACAGATGCAATAATATGAAACTTGGAAATAAGTTAAAAAATAAAGACCATTATGATTTAAGATGATATTACTCATTTGTTTTTGAAAATATAAAGTGACTGTTTGCTTGAAATATGATGTATGCTAGTGAATTCCATATTCTGAATAAATATCGTTGAAATAATAATAAATTCGTAATTAACATGTTCAAGATAAATATAAAACTTAAAGAAGAAAAATCATTTGGATCAATGACAGATGTTAATAGTAACCATGTAGATTAGATGGTATTCTATTTCCTGTTTTTAATAATGCAACATACCATATGTAATATATTTTAGACTTTACAGTTACATTGAAATGAACGCCATTAGGTTTATTACCTGATTGGAACGTCAATAATTTGAGCGAGATTAATCCACTTGTGACATTTTAAGAATATAATTTGTCTTAGCATATTGAATTTATAGTCTAAATTCAATTTATTATATTACTGTTTCATCAACTAAACTATTTTACACCAAAATTCAATATTCAATGACCACCATGTAATATAAATTTTACTAAAAAATAATTTTTTTAAAATCTGAATACTGTATATTCGTATACACTCTAAAAAAATGTTTTACGAAACTCACAATAGTTCTTCTAGAAGCACAATCTTAGAACCATCTTTGGTTCTGTGCAAAAAAAGATTTCGTACCGAATCACTACTGAACAACAGTGATAGAGGCTGTGTCCGAAGACTTTCGTAAAAAACGTTTTTCTAAAGTTGGAACAAGGTTCTGCAGACAATATTCCATACAGAATCCTTTACAAAAACTCAAAAATAAGTTTCTTACATGAAAATTCCTATGAAACCATCATTTATTGGTCTGTCTGACTACGTATAATTCAACAAACATTCCCTAACCACTTTGCAAAACTGAACATCAAAAATCACGAGAAACAATATAGATGGACTTCCATATAATCCAATTAATGGTGAAGGCGTCTTTACTGTAAATACTTTTCTTTGTGGACCACAAGCAAGGGGTAGGGTACGATTATCGTCCAAAGATCCGACTAGCAAGTTAATAATTGATCCTGCCTATCTTGATAATGATCTTGATGTTGCAGTGCTTACCGAGAGTTGTCGTTTGTGTCATGAAATTATAATGAAAGGTCGAGGAACAAAAGATATTATCGTTGGTGCTTGACCAAAGATTGTTTCGCATTCGAATGATATAATCGGTTGGAAAGAGCATGTTCGAATATTCGAAAGTACCTGTTCTCATCCAGCTCGAACATGCAAAATGGCACCTACGAGTGATTCGATGGGAGTAGTTGACAGTCGTCTTCATGTTATGAATGTGAAAGGATTACGAGTGGCAGATATATTCATTCTACCTATCCTCAACAATGGTCATCCACAGATGCTTGCATACGCCATTGGTGAAAAGGTTGCATTTATGATTTTGCAAGATGCTGATGTTTCAAAGTAACCTATCATGATTTATGCGGTTAAACATGTGTTGAGATTGTTACTAGAATTATTAATTTATTATAATAACACTTTTGAATCAATCGAATCGTAATAAAAAGTCTACACCACTCTTTCTACACATATAATCTATTTCAATGGAGTTTTGTCGATAGAAGACATGAATAAAAAACTTAATGCCAAGCGGATACACATGTTTAGACGTACGAAAAAAGGCGATCTATATGTGCTTCGTTCAACTGCATTTCTTTTTTATGAATGTGAAAAGTTTGAACTGTTTTCACTTATACACAATTGATTTTATCTGAAGAAATTCCTTTTATATTACAAACACATCTGAGAATGAATACCAACAATGATTCATATATTTCTTAGCTTGTTTCCAATGTTTCTTGTACAACGAGAGAGAAGAAATAACGAAGACATAGGTTCTCATTTCCAATACCGTTCCGATGAAATCTATGTAATTTCCTTAATTTATAAATGTTTGAAGGTGAGTTTGAATATAAATGAAAATCGAAGCAGAAAGCGTATATGAATAAAAAAAAGAATTATCTATTGCCATTTTACTTGTTCACAAAAATCTATACGTTAGATTATTTCGAACATTCACAGTTGATATGCTTTTTATAATACGCATGACTAGATAAGAAAGACTGTATAAGAAAAACAGGAGTCGAGCTCGTATCTTTCAATAATCGTTTGGATCTTATACCGTTAAACTATCTGATTATCTTCTACCTTTTTAGTTTACGTATATGCTTACTCGTAGATACTTTTTGGCTTACGAGCACGTTTCGTAAGTTCGTAGATTAATCTATCCTGTGATATAGAATAATAAGCCCTTAAGACGATAGCATTTTTACAATATTAAACCCTTTTGATGAAACTGTCAATTAATCTACCTTGATCCATAAAGCAATTAGCGCCTTCGATGAACCCATAGTATAATAGACCTTTAAATAAGGATCATATAATCTTCTCATTTTCCTATACGCCTAACATCATAAACCTTTTTTGTACGTGAGCCCTCGAATAATACATGACGTCCTCATAAATCTTTTAAAAGTAGATGAAATTTTGCATTAGGCATGAAGATAGCTTATTCTGCGTTTCTTTGTTATAGTGTAGATTAGTCTATTCTTGGCTGTTGAGTAATATTAGATTAACTCACTCTTATTCGTATAATAATAAATCCTTTCGTTGAAAATATTGAATAAGAAACCCTTGAAAGGCGTCATATATTCTTTACATTTTCATATGCCCTTATGATCATAAACTTTAGAAGAGTGTATGACATCAACATAAACTGTTCAAGGGTTTATGAAAAAAAATTTTAAGCGTAATGGTTAAATATTCTGCTAATTTTTTTATAGTTTTCTCCTTCGAACCCTCTTTAGCTTCACCATGAACAATTTCGGCTCTTCATGTAGATTAATTGAACTTGTCAGACGTAAACGGCTGCTCTCATGACGATAATATTCAGTTGTTTAAGTTGTGATGAGACTCCGCTGTCAGCAGAACTGAGACGTCCACATAATTTTTTTTATGAAAATCGTATACGATACGATGAAATGTGAAAAGCTATCGTCATGTTGTTTTGTTACTATAAATTTCGTCGACAAATTATTAATCACAACAAAAGACAAATAAAAATGAACGATGAAGCGATCAAAAGAACAGAAAGGAATAGAAATAAATAATATGATTACGGTATCATTTAAGAACACTTTAATATAACTCATCATAGTTATGTGGTTGCTGGCTTCGAATCATATTCAAGAATCTGAGCAATTGTTGTAAAGCCATATCGTTGTGGACACCGCGTGCTTATCAAATCTTTGCCAATCAATTTCGATCCTACTAAATACTCTTTCCCTATTTTTTGTTGACACCAAGACAGTACTGTATCCATATATGGAGTTGAGACTTCTGCCATTTCTGCAATGCTTCGAATAACAACCAGACCAAACGGAACATCTTCTGTCAGAAAGCGGTGATTAAAATTTGGAACATATTTACCAGTTTCAGTCTTGATCATAGGATACACGATATCCTCGAATCCAGAATTCGTACGCAGAACTGTCATCAGATTCGATTTGTCTTTGATATAATTTCCGTAACACCTTAAGTCCCAATCGTACAATGAAGTGACATGCGACAGATCTATTTGCGGATACTCTGCCATGATCCGCTTGCTTGTTCCTACAATTTCGTTGCTGACCTTTTCGATCAGTTCTGCCATGCTTTCGTCGACATCCTTATAGAACAATGGCGGCTGTTCTAATTCATTTCCATTCCAGTCTTTCCAATGCGAGTACATCATTGTTGGATGAATACAAGCATTCGGGGAACTCAATGTAATGCCAATCAAGTTTCCTGAGAAATCCAAACTGGATCTCTGTCCTAGCAAATGTTGCATGCACGACAAAGGCTTCGTGATTCGTGCTCTTTCAAGATCACCGTGCACTGCAGCGATTAACTTAGCTTTGGTTGCACAAATTTTCACGGTTTTGCCAAATTCGACCATTTGACATACCCAAGGTAGTGAATCGAAATTTATTATTACGCAATCATTTAGTTTTTGACCTAGTGCTTTCTCTACTTCGAATTCAAATCCGCATTGACCCGGCAGACTGACAATGATACACCCGTTCTCAATGTAAGGTTCCACTAAGGTGAGGTACTTCCAATGAAGAGATGCAGGAACAGCCAAGATTATGATATCACATCCGCGTACTGCTTTTTCTGGATCATTTGTAACAATGAGAGGAGTGTTCGCTGACGCAGCCAGATCTTCATTTTCTCTATGCACCAGAACTGTCACTTGTCCACTAGAAATTAGTGTTTTCCATTGATTTGCTTTGTCAGCATTCTGCGTTAGAACATGAACTTCGACGGCTGTTTTCGAAGAAATAGTTCCTACGAGGGCGTGCGCACTGTTTCCTGTTCCGCAAATAAGCACCCGAATCGGATCAGCCATTTGTACATGATTAGTGTGCATTGTACTATTTCGCTTCAATATCAACAAAAATATCTTTACTACGTGACGTGCTACACCGCTTCGAACAATTATATTATCACGTAAACACACACTTACATCTTATTTATAGGAAGGTCGTATGTAGATGGTAAATAAAGGAGATGGGTGTGGGTGTGAGTGTCAACTGTAAAGCTGCATCCACCTAACATCAAGGGAGAAGGAGCGAAACTTCTAGAGTGCGTACTTTCTCATACTTCCTTCGTACTTTCCTCGTACTTCCCCTCGTACTTCCATCGTACTTCCATCGTACTTCCTCTTACTTCCTCTTACTTCCATGATACTTTCTCGTACTTCAAAAAACTTCGGAAGTAGCCCAAGTTGCCATTCGATGGGTATTTCGAGATGTCGATATGAGCTTTCCGATGGGTTGACGAAATTGTAATTTTGCTAACCATCTACGACCCCTCGACCTATCGAAAAATGGCACTCCGAAGGCTCTGTTTGAAATTTCGATGCCCTCGCCGCACCCATCTCTGATGAATTCCCATAGGTTCCTATGGGTGAAATTAGCAGAGCTACGAGCGGTCGATATTTCGAGCACTCGAAAGTTTGGTGAAATTTCAAAAAATTTTCGTCTCCTGCATTTGTTTTTTTTTCCAGTCCTCGGTACCTATCGGATATTTTTGCAGAAGTGAAGATTCGAACATATGTACTTACGATTGCGAAGCTTGCATAGATCAGATGAACTAAATATACCGTTTTCATTTTAGATAAATCTAAGTGTCATCATGAAATATATTTAACTTTTGTATCTTTTTCTTTGTATTTTCTTTAAATATAATTTTAATGAGTTTTTTTTAAAAACAACTCGCGGTATATATATTGCTATTATTGGTGATAAATAAAAACAATTCTATCTGTTATAAGTTTTACTATATTAAATAAAAAAAATTATGCTAGAGTATTAATTACATTACAATTAATTAGTTTATGTAAAAAAAAATCATAAAAAAGTATTGAAACTAAAATTAGACAAATTCGACTTATCTATCCGTATTAAGTTTATAAACTTCAATTAGCTCATTAATTTAGAAGACTAAAAGAAATAAATAGATAGTTTTAAATGAGATCGTCCCATGTAAAAAAGAAATATGAAAAAAAATCAGCTTTAGAGAGGTCAAAATCGAGTGAAAATCGATTAAAATCCGATTTTGCTATGATTATTACTGCTTAAATTGTTGATTAAAATCTTATGATTTTAATCGATTTTTTAAATCAGTTTTGTTGCATGGGATGAAATGGTTCTTTGGCAACTAGTTATTGAAAATCAGGGTTATTCAAGAGTTCAGGATATTTGAAGTGTTATGAAACTAAATTAATTATGACTGGTTTTTTCTCAGGACTGTAAACACATTTCTATCTTTGTTCTAGTTGTAGCTGATAAATAATGTTGTTCAAACGATGAAACTATGTAAAAGCACCTGTAAAAAACAAAAATTCTCCAAGGAAATCAAAAATCATTCAAGAACTGAATTTCTGAGATGCTTTCGGGTATCAAAATTAAAACGAACAATCGAAATAATGCTTTTCGATAGGTATGTCTCAGCAAGCACTCGATATTTCGATTAGCTTCCACTAATCTAAATCATATCGAGTAATCGAAAATATCTTTCCGATGGGCTTTCTGTCTTCGAGTAGTCGAAATTCCGATAGATTTCGAGTCGTCGGAACGT